AAAATTATATGAATATCTATTGAAGAGCCAGAAGATTCTTCAATTTAATGAACTTTCATGTTTTGCATGTTGCCAAGGTAAATTGATGATTAAGCCATCATTAAGTAAAATTGAGATTTAATCTCCAGTATTTTAGAATGTATTCAAGGTGATATATGTGGATCAATTTATCTACCATGTGGATCATTTAAATATTTTACGATTTTGATAAATGCATCCACAAGATAGTCACATATATGCTTATTATCTATTCGAAACCTGATGTTTTCAAGATTGCTAGCAAATAATTTGATTTCGAGCATAATTTTCAAATTATGTCATTAAAACAAGTCACCTTGATAATGCTCGATGAATTTATTTCTCAAGCATTAAATTATTATTGATTGGCTATTAAAATAAAGGTTGAACCATCCTATTGTTCATGTTCATACTCAAAAAGGTTTAGTAAAATCATTTATTAAAAGGCTCCAATTGATAGCTAAACCATTATTTAAAAATAAAACTCTATGTTTATGTTTAGGGACATGCAATAACACTTATTCGCATATGACCCATAAGTTATTAGAAATTCTCTTCTCTTCGATTGATTTATGGTCATGAGTCAAATATTTCTTATTTAAGAGTTTTTTGACATTGCAGTGTATATCCTTAGTGCTCTTTCATAAGAAAATAAAATGGACACTTAAAGGAGATTGAGAATATATATTGGATTTAAATCCTTTTCGATAATTAAATATCTTGAATCATGAATAAGTGATATTTTTATAGCTTGATTTATCGACTCGTCATTTTGATGAAATAGTTTTTTCAACATTAAGGAGAGAGAATAAATAAAATAAGCAGATTGGAAATGTTGAAAAAAGAGATTACATAGAGTACTCTAGTTTTATATTAATTTGGTACAAAATAATGTGAACTAGAAGTTCACAAGATAATTCGTTTACAAAGTATTATAAACCAACTACTAGATGTATTCTCATATCCTAAAAGAGTAAATAAAATGCATGTCCCCGCTAAGAATGCTCCTATTAGAATTAATGTCCTAAAAGGACAATCTATTAATGTTATAGTTAATGAAACTAAAGCACGCCTAAAACGTGGAAGATCGATCGGTTCTAAAGATAAAAATCCCTAAAAGAAAAGGACAAGATGAAAATATAAAGGATGTAAATATTCACAAAACGATCCAAAGATATTTCGATAATAGGCTTCAGAAGAAGTCCAAGTGCTTAAGAAAAATCAAGAGATTTTGATAAATTATGTCAATACATGGAGAAAATATGACCGAAAAGAAATATCTATTGATAAGGTTTTTGCATATAATTTTACAATTGATATTTTGAATGAAAATAAGGATCCCGAGCCTAAATTATTAAAAATGTTGACATAAAGATGATTGGCCTAAATAAAAAGAGCAATCTAGGCGTAATTATGTTCTCCTACAAAAAAGTAATTTTTTGAACCCATAGCTTAAACATCCGAAGATGTTAAGCTAGTGGGATACAAATGTGTATTTATACGAATACGAAATAAGAAATATGAGATTGTAAGATACAAAGAAAAACTTTCAACACAAGAGTTTTGCAAAGAACTAACATTGACTATGAGGAGACATATTCTCCCATGATTGATGCAATTATATTTTATTATCTTATTAGCTCGACAAAATATATGAAAAAATTCATATACATGCATTTAATGAATGTGATCATAATTTATTTGCTCATTTAAAATGATATCGGTATGAAAGTCCTAGAATGAGTTAACATGCTAGAAGCATGTAATATATATTCTCGAGATAGGAATTCAATTAAATTATAGAGATCTCTATTAGGATTGTTTTAGTATTTGTTTTATTATTTTGGTTTTTAGAAATTCGTTTTATACTTTTTATATTTTATTTTTATATCTACTATTTATTACTAACTCGTGTGCATATGATATAATCACTTCAATGATTATTTATTGAAAGAAAATTATAAAAAAATAACCATGTTTGTTCATATATTTTTATTTGAGAAGGAGTTTGTTGTTGATAACTTAAATATTATTGGAACTCCCAAATAGATTCCAAGTGTCATAAGTTACCTAAAAAGGAGAATTTGATATGAATACCTTAGAAAAACAAAATGTTATCTCGACTCGTAGTTTGAGCACTCGGAGAAAGAGATTTTTATTCATCGATCAATTTATATAGAAAAAAGTTCAACAATGATTCTATATGAAGATCATTTATTGACTAGCCCAATAGTGGTTTAATTACTTGATATCCAAAAAGACCCTTTTTGACCTCGAGAATATAACGAAGAACTATTTGACCTTGAAGTATCATATTTTAATACCACTCGGTGCATTGATGTATCTTGCTAATAATACTTGACTCGATATAGTCTTTTCTATAAATTTGTTAGTAAGTCATAGTTCTGTTTCAATATAGAGACATTGAAATAAAGTTAAATATATAGTACGTTATCTTCGAGGAATAATTGATATGGGCTTATATTACTCTAATAAATAAAAGACAAGATTAATTAGTTATGCGGATGTAGGTTATTTATCTTATCTACACAAAGCTCGATCATAACTGGTTATATATTTTTATATGGAGATACGGTTATATCTTGGCATTTTATGAAGCAAACTATAACCGCCACGTCTTTAAATCATGTAGAAATATCAATTCACGAGGCAAGTTGAGAATGTGGTTAAGATCAACGATCCATCGTATCCGAGAGAAATGCAGTTTATCTACCAATAAAAAAAGTTCCAATAATATCATATAAGGATAATGTCTGTTTGCATAATTTCATTGAAGGAAGAATCCATCAAAGTGACAATCCAAGCATATTTATTCACTAAAGCATTAACTATCACAACTTTTGAAAAGATTCACAAGATTGGAATGTGTCGTCTTAAAGATCTTAAATAATGCCTTTAACAATGGAGACCAAAATGGGGATTAATATATGCAAGGAATATTATACTCTTTTTCCTTTACTAGGATTTTTTTTCCACTAGGTTTTTTTCAAGTGAGGTTTTAACGAGGCATGTTCCTTGTACAATGGACATTCAAGGAGAGAATTATGAAATAATGAATGTCCATCATCATGTTCATCCACTTTTCATATCCCCGTTACTCATGATTCTTAATATGATTTAATTTATCATTCAATATGAGAAATTGAAAGGGTGACGTAATCGATTATTCATAGTCCCTTCCAATTCTCTCCTCAATTTTGAAGCCTATAAATCGGCTTGATTGTTCATTAGTTGGTGTACAAGTTTCATAGAGAGAATAAGAGAAACTTTAAAGTTCGTATCACTTATATTCACATTATAGTGATTTCATTTTATTGTTATCCTTTTATTCAATTCTTCTATTATTTCTATTTATTTTATAACGAGATGAAACTTAATTTGTTTACTTAACGATTATTTTTGTAAAATCATATTCAAGTAGTTTGATTTGTTTTACGTTATCTCGTCATCGAAGATTCAAAAGAAATCATTAATTATTATTATATTTCTTTTATCCGTGAGATTTTGATATTATATTATGATAAAAAAAATATTACAACAAGAGTTCACTTAACATCTAAAGGGAAAAAAAAACAAAAAAACAACCATTCCCTTCATTTTACAAGGAATATACTCCCACATTTTTATTTTCTTTTTTGTTCAAGCAACATGCGTGATTTTTCTTTGCATGATTGATAGGGCGGGCTTTTTTTTTTTTTTTTTTGGTATTAAAGAAAATAGAGTACCTAACTAGGCTATGGAGAAAAAGATTCTAATAGCATCACTTAAAATAATATTGATTATATCCGATAGAGGATAGTTCCAAATCTGTAATGACATGTCGCTAGAAGAGTCATTCTTAGCTAGAAAGCTAACTCAATAATTGTCTTCCCTCAAAGTATTACTAAATGACACCGTCTACTGATATTGACAAAGACAATGAATATTAAAAATGATATTATAGTATGGATGAGAAGATGAGACCCTGTTTTGAATAGTATGGATTGTCTTTTGAGAATTAGTTTCCAACACCACCTTCATGTATCCTATATCCAAGGCAATAATAAGCCTCCATCTTTGCAAACATAATGGAAGAGTGACAAAAAAAAACCTTGAGAAACCAACAATCCACATTCCATACGAATTTTAAAGAATACCACCCATCCCAATACGATTAGCTAAAACAAGATAACAACTATCCATGTTGAATTTGATTGAATTTAGTGGATTGAGCTTTTTTATTTTTTTTTAATTTGACAAAAATGTTCGACTTCATATAGTTTCAAAAGAGATCATGAACGAATTATACTAACTCAATATCTTTTAAAACTCTCTTTTCTTTTTTTGAATAACCATAGATATTGTAACAAAAGAAGTAAAAGAAAAATGATGGATATGATCACAATTAAACTTCCCAACACAATCATTAATTTGTTACCATTTTTGCTAAATATTGTCCTTTCAATAAGTTGTTGAACATCGGATTCAAGATGACCAAAAAAATCAAATTTGAAATCTAGGAAAACATTCAATCCCATGACATCAGCAAGGACAAAGAGGAAGGGAACAGGTAATTTCCCATTCGGGTCACGCAAACGTATGTTTCTAGGACTCTAATAATAAATAAGATTTTGTAAATAAATATTCATGACAGACACTATTGCGGGCCCAAGCACGAAAAAGACAACAGAGACGGCATCCGAGAAATACAAGCAAAAAAATCCAAGGCCCATCAGCCCAAATCCAAGGAGTGCACGTTTATTTGGAAAACTGAGTTAGCTGAGCAACAGTAGCTATTCACCTCACTTCCCAAAATCCAAAAGTCAATAAAGGCCATCCCCGTTTTGGCCCTTAGTTCATCAACTTGCCTACCTAACCAACACGTGTCACAATGACAGTGGCAATAACCTCAATCTTCTGGGAATATCCCCTCTTTACAAATATCGCCCATCCATCCTTCAACCGCACAGCCTGTCGAAACGATGGAGCGCTTCTCCCTGTTTTCTCTCATCCTTCTCACTGTCCTATCCTCGACACTCGCATCCACAGTATCTCCCAACGATCTCGACGATCCTTTGATCAGGCAAGTCGTATCAGACGGCGAGGATCATCTGCTCAACGCAGAGCATCATTTCACTACTTTCAAGTCCAAATTCGGAAAAACATATGCGACTCAAGAGGAACATGATTACCGATTTGGTGTTTTCAAAGCTAATCTGCTCCGTGCCAAGAAAAACCAGATGGTGGACCCTACAGCTGCCCACGGCGTTACTAAGTTCTCTGACCTGACGCCAAAAGAATTCCGCCGCCAGTTCCTTGGATTGAAGCGGAAGCTACGGTTGCCGACGGATGCTAACAAGGCGCCGATCCTTCCTACTAGTGATCTACCTACTGATTTTGACTGGCGTGATCACGGTGCCGTTACTAACGTCAAAGACCAGGTATTTATATATCCTTGTTTTTGGTCTTACTGTCGACCATCATCAGACCAGTTTTTTTATCTGTCGGATTTTTCGATATTGTGTAAAATAATAATAATAATAATAATTTCAGGGATCTTGTGGATCTTGCTGGTCGTTTAGTGCTACAGGGGGATTAGAAGGAGCCCATTATTTAGCAACAGGAGAGCTTGTGAGCTTGAGTGAGCAACAGCTTGTGGATTGTGATCACGAGGTTTGACTTCTTGATTACTTACTTTCTTTTCACGCTTTTATTCTGTCTTTCTTTGATTAGTAAGTAACCTTAATTTATTTTATTGTTTTGATTCCTTTGGTCTCATTCAAGTACTTGTGATTGTTTGCAATTGTCAAGTGTCTGGAAGACATTGAGGATTTTGATTTTGTTATATGAAGTGGATTTTTCCCCTTTTTTTCAGCTTATCCATTTTTATCAATGAAAGGAAATATGGAAATTTAGTTAGTGTGCTATGATTCCTCATTTTGGTGTCATATTGCAACCCATGTAGTGTGATCCAGAACAATATGGTGCTTGTGACTCGGGCTGCAGTGGTGGGCTGATGAACAATGCCTTCGAGTACGCACTCAAGGCCGGTGGACTTGAACGCGAGGAGGACTATCCTTACACTGGAACTGATCGTGGCGCTTGCAAATTTGACAAGAGCAAAATTGTTGCATCCGTGTCTAACTTCAGTGTTGTTTCAGTAGATGAAGATCAAATTGCTGCGAATCTGGTGAAGCATGGTCCGCTCTCAGGTATTTTGCTACTTCTGTAGCATTGGCATCTGTGTTCTCATCGACACCTGTTGAGATTTATATTTTGCTTATTTTTATAGGGAACTAATTATAAGGATTTTTTTCTGTTTCCCATTGTGCAGTGGCTATCAATGCAGTTTTTATGCAGACATACATAGGTGGAGTTTCATGCCCATACATTTGCTCCAAGCGTCAGGATCACGGGGTGCTGCTGGTGGGATATGGATCTGCTGGTTATGCTCCTATCCGGTTCAAGGAAAAGCCCTTCTGGATTATCAAGAACTCTTGGGGAGAAAATTGGGGGGAGAATGGCTATTACAGAATCTGCAGGAGTCGCAATATCTGTGGTGTGGACTCCATGGTTTCAACTGTTGCTGCTATTCACTCTTCTGCTTAGAAGATTGCTATGCCCTTAACACATTGAAGGACTGCATTGTTAGATGGGGCTCGTGTATATATGAAGTGTGATGTGTATTGTTACCATATGTATTACTAGACTATTGTAAGATCCACGAATTTGTCAGGCAAAAGTTGTTGTGATGTAGGTAGTGTTTCTACTTTCATCAATTGATGCCAGGGCTTACTGTTTAAGGCCGTGCATCGCATAATCTCACTGTTTCTGATGATTAATAATGTAACTATTTACCTTATACACCAGTTACCTTTCGTAGTGTAATTTGGAATGCTTGCTTTTGGAAGGTAGGGCTGAAATCCACATAACGATGATCTGACTCAGCCTCATGTATTTGATTTTGTAAGCAGAAGTACGTCATAGGCACAGCATGCAAGGATATGAAGTTTCGTAAAAATTCATGTGATCTCGGCCCACAAACACAACTTCTGAAACCAAATACTTTGCCGAGTGGCCTGAAACTGCACCAACGATGGCATTTTAGCGATCAGAAGTTGCATCTCAAAAAATAGAGAAATCTGATCATGTTAGATTCCAACTCATCTATAAAGATAGTTCAATGTCAATTGTCAACACTGTTTACTTTCTTCTCTCAACTAGACAATATTGCACAACAGTAACCTAACAATCACTGATGAAGAATACAATCAACATACTGTGAAAACTAACTGGCAAAATTCTAGAAGCTTGTACATCGACCGGAATTTTGGTTAAGCTTCTTAATTGCTAACTGGCAAAATTCTAGAAGCTTTCGTACATCATGTTTCCTTTATAGTTGCTCTTGATCAAAGTCAACCTCAACAATCTTCGCTCAGGGAATAGGCAGCCGTGCCTGCAAGACTTATTTCAACAATCACAAACACAATGCGAAATTGGTTGTTGCTGAAGAGTAGGTTCTTCTTCCAAACTTGGATGCACTTCGTCGATTAGCTTTCTTGAACTCTTTGATCATATTTAAAAGAATCGCAATTTTGCTATACTTCAATGTGTGATAAATTCTATTACCTATGTAAGCCTCTGACTGTTCTATCCAGTAAAACATATCACTCGTCATCTTCACCAAGCAAAGCAAATGAAAATGGATAGAATTTGTATCCATCTCCCAGGTAAAATTTGTTTTGAAACTCTACCCAATGAAGCCTCAAGGCATGTAGGAATGCACTTAGGGTTTCCATCACTAGTAGAACACCAACAGTTACACATATAAATACAATTAAGCCAACACCGCGAACAATGATGCTGTTGTACCTGCAGTCATTCAGATAATTCATAATATTGTCAATCAAAACTGAGATATCAAGTCGCTTTCATCACAAGTGAAAACATGGACATGCAAACTCACCCCCAGGCTAGAAGAAGCAGCTTGTCATAGAATACGCTCGATAGTTCTGAATGAGCCAGACTGAAAATCACCAAAAAACTCAAATTAAACAGTTACCTTTCTGTACTAGAACTAATAATGCACCCCACATTCATTTTAAACATGAGAGGTATGTCAGGAAGGCATATAAACATAAGACCTTAACAATCCGATACCTATGCATTTAGACAGGTAACAGAGAAATGATAACTATATTGTAATGAGCAATCACAAACAAGCATTCAAATAAAGGTGGAAATTAAGCTTGCAAAAATAGATATTAGGTAAATAGAGAAGAACCAACCTTAGGGCCCATAAACGTAGATATGAAGCTGTATTCGACACTGCTCCAAGCACAAACTCTATGGTATGTATAAGTTGGTGAACAAACACCTCGCTGAACTCAAATTCCTCATGGTTATGGGAAACAGAATGCGGCTCGATTTCAGGAGGGTAGTCACTGCTGTCCAGCCGTGCATAGGACCGACCTTGAAACCTCTGAAAAAACATTTAGGAATGATAGAGGTTAACAGTTATTTTTACAAATGAGCAATACCAATGAATGCATCTGAAAAAGATTGAGCATACTTCCTCGTGTTGTTTCTTCAATAGAAAAGGCTTTGGAAACAACATCCATGGGACAGCAGCAAGGGCTGATAGTAGCAATAAAATCTGGTGGAGAACACAGGAAATGTTAGCCAGCTCCATTTTCTTAAACCATGAGGAAGAATTTCCACACAATCACTATAAAAGAGATTATACCTGAAAAAATTTCTGGCCGATAAAAAGCTGATTGTCATCCAAATCATCAGTGGGACTTAGAAACATGTATATCATCACATGGTATAGATCAGCTTGTGAACCAGTGCACCACTTCACAATTATGAGGAGTGAAAGGTAACCAAACAAGCTGTTTAAGAAAATCATCTGGGGCACAAATTGGTACCTAAAACAATGCAACAGTTGCTAGTCAATTCTGAAGATGAAAATAAGAAAAAAAGAAACAAGCAGTAAAAAGTGAAGAATCCTATATCTACACGCTCCCAAGACCCCATTGATCCACTGCAGCAAATAAGGACGCCCATGCTTATAAGATTAAATTCTCTAAAAAAATTAGAGTCAACGGTTCAGGAATGACCAATAACAACTTAAAATCATGAGTCTGCTGATTGTTCCATATAAGGACATGCTCTAACATATTTGAAAGCATGCATTGCATGCAGGAATCAAGTATAGCTCACCAGATATTTATGTTATCTGCAAAGAACTTTGCATTGAAGTAGCTCATTATAATCCCAAGATTCATCTGGGCCACTCCAAATAAAATTGACATCTTCATCTTCATTGAGTTAAGAAACGGTAACTCGCTCCTGGTACCATGCCATTTAGGATCCAAACCAAATGGATAGGTGGCACGGACCTTAACTAGACCAGCAGTAGAAGCATCCCTACAATGCAAATAGAGCATAAATAATTTAGGGAAAGTTGAACCGCGAGTGCTTATGTATCAAGTTGTTCTTGTTAATACCCGCAAGACTGGTCACGACAACCATAGGCAGAGGGCCCAAACAGTTCAAATGGAACTGAAAAGAATTCATTGTATATCAACCCCGTGTAGATTGAAAAAATTGCCATCATCATTATCACATAGCGGCCGCCGAAAGCCATTTCCATAATGTCTCCAAGTTTCTGTCGTTTACAAAAAGCAAGTAAGCCAAAGCATGCAACAACTAAGAGGAAGACAGAAATTGTAAAGACAAACCAACGAGCCACACATCACAATTACCTGACTGGAAAGTTTCTTTTCCCTGATAATAAAATATAATGTTGCCAACAGCAAGCAAATACCATGGCCCCAGTCACCAAACATTACAGCAAAAAGGAAGGGGAATGTGACAATTGTGTATACACTAGGATTTGCTTCCTGGTACTTGGCAACCCTGAAATAGTATTTTGTCAGCTAACATCTTTATTTCATCTGTGGAACAGTGAACCGATCAAACAAAATGAAGCATGGATAACAACTTGTGGACTGGGAGAAATGTCTTAAGTCAACTGTATTCACTCATTCTGATACATATATTGACAAGAGGAGACCTATCCTAGACTGTTTACATAGATAAATTGACCAGCATTGAATTATGGAACTGACATACTGAAAAAACAGATAATATCAACTAAATATACTTTGGTCACCACTAATATTACACAATAAGGTGTTACTGTACTCCTATTATCACCTGGATCATACTAATAACAACCATACACTAATTTTCTGTCTCTCACCTCCCATTATTTCCGTGTTCATAGAGAATAAGAAATAAATAATCAATTACTTCAAGAAACTGTAAGTTCTGCCAATGCCTATCAGAGTTGTCACATACTGGCATTATAATTCTGATCTCAATGACATCTAAAAACTTTTAAAGTTATGATAGAACCATGATAGCCAATTACCCTGCCAAAAATTACAGACTCTTTGTATTGTCTGCATAACATAAATAACTTACCCATATGCATCTACAATTTCTTGAAAAGCAGAAGTAAATTTGTTTGTTCGGAAATAGGTAGGTGGCAATTCCTTTGTCTGCAAAACATGGAATATGGCTCCAATTTGTGAGTTGCTGTCTAAAGTTGCTCGCCGCAATCCATTTTGTATCTGCAGATAAACAACATGAAACAATTGAGTAGTTACAATTCATGCAAGATTTAACTAAGCACCGAGCATTATAAGTTAAAAGAACTAACCTGATCTTTTGCAAAAACAGGACACCAACCTTCAGCAACAAGACACTTCTTTGTCACATCCATGTTGAGCATATTTAAAGTGTGGTAAATAGATTTTTCCTTCTTCACCTATACTAGTTGAAAGTGACAAAGTCAGTTGACAAAAAATATTCAACTCAGCTTTACTCAACTTTTATTAATCCCAGTAACGATCCAAAATATTAAGTAAAATGACTTGAACAAACCAGAAAATTCCACTGCTCAAATTCAAAGCCAATGGTTTGTAACAAATTGCTCCGGTGCGCCAATCCAACATCTAGGGTAGTTTTAAGCTCTGCAAGTCTTCCAGACACCTACAAATCAGTGAATTTACAAAATTTACATCAGACTGAAGTGTGAACTTGATTCTACAAAATTGGACAGAAAGATGCTAGTTCACCTAAGACAGAGCACTAAAGAAAAACTCTAGCTTCATTTCAAAATTGGGAAAAATGCACCATTTTATTCAAATCTTCAGTTTACTACTAGCTAAACATTATTTATAAATGAAATAGGACTTTACAGCAATTATTTAGTTCTACCTGCTTCCACACTAAAACTTGCCAGGGGATTTGTGTTATCTACTGACAATTATACTCTACAGGTTTCTTATTAGAGGCATCATCCAGCTCACGAACTATTCCCTTTATGAATCATCAAAGGAAAAATATCTCCCTGTTAACTTTGATTTAGCACTTTTTCAGTTTTGCCCTCGAAACTGTTACTTATTTATTTATATGCCTATATAAGAACTCACAAGGCCGCAATATCTTGTACTAACAAATTCATGTCCATGGACAGAAAGTAATCGTAAATTATATTCTTATGAACCTCAAGCCACATAGCTTCAACCTCAACA